GAGAGACAAAAGGCACAATAGTCCATAGGTGAAACGCCTAGAGATGATGCAGGGATAATTTGAAAAGGTATAATGCAAAGTCTCTATGAGTCTTCATTTTTTCGAGGAATGCAATCGTACTTTTCGGAGCATGACTTGTTGCTTTCTCTTGGTGAAGCTTCACCTTTTGAAAGTCACATTGATAAAGAAATAAATTTTTTTCTGTAAATATCGGACATAAAACTTTCTCATGATAATACGTTGAATTACTTCAAAAATTTTTCCACTATTTTTAATTTCCTGCTGTAAGAAAATCCTGCAAGAATCATAAACCCCTCACTTATACGTTCTTTGCATTGACGAAACGGAATGTGAATACTTTTTTTCTCTTCGTTTTCGATTATAAATAGACCTTTTCTTTGTTGCACTCATTTAGGTAAATCCATGCTTCATCAAGGGACAGGACACAATGTATTTCCCTTTATCTCCTGCTGATTATTTTCATTTCTATAAATTGTTCAGCGTTGAGCCATATGCCTGGCAAAACTGGTGAACATTATGTCTTTTTCTTCTAGTTATAAAACTTACTTAAAGACGTATTAACCTGTATTTAAAGACTTTACGACTGATTTCTGCGTCGCATGATTTTCTCTCGTCACGAATGATTTCACTTTAGAAAAATTAGAAACTTACCTTTTACGGGTATTCGTTTGGAGTCTTTTTTTTTTTTCCATGTAGAAGTAATGACTGACGGTGTTTCCCTTCCCGGTTAATCTCAGAAAGCGCAGAAACATATCCTTCAATTCAAGCTTGTTTACATACGAGATTTTGAAAGAAGAATAAATTTAAAAGTAGCAGGCTATATTCCTCATTTCAAACAATAAGCTGTTGCCAGAAATTTTTATTCCAAAGCTTTAGTTCTTTTTAATCATCGAAATGATTCTAAAAATGTGTAAATACTCTTTCTAGGTCCATAGAGGATAAAGATGATTGCAAGGTATCGAAGAGCCTCTACCACGGCTCACAATTTAAATTTTGAAATCTTTTTGTGAGTTATGTATATAAGTATTATGCTTATATGATTAAAGTTTGTAATTTGCTAGTAAAAGCGTGTAAATTCAAAAACGCCAATTTCTGTAGACACTGAAAAGTTCAATTACAGGCTTCTGCTATTTATTCCACAGTTTAGGGATCATAAGTACCAAAAGTCCGAAAACTAAGTGATATATTTATATATATAAGCTTTTACCTTCAATTATACAAAGCTGTATGTATTCTGGGTATAAAATGCTTGAAATTATTTGTCGAAAAAAGTGCGGATCATCGAAAAGAGAAGGACGCTTGCACTTAAAAAATTTATACTCGCGCAATCGTGCCGCCGTATTTCCGTTTCGTCAGACTTGGAGAGAAACATTTCCAAGTGCTTATTTACCCAAACCACCTTCAACTCTTTTCTCGACCATTTCGGTCACCTTACGGCTGGCTTTTCGTTTGAACAGGCCACTCTGCAGTTTACCTAGCTTTCGCTAATCTCGCGACTTCATCTTCTAGTTCCTAGCTAAGAAAGCCAAGATTTACAAATAGTTTGTGTTACGGAAATCTTTCTTTAATGTTTGATCAGCTTTCAGTCATCGCAATCATTCAAAGAGAAATGTTTTGTCACATGGAAACGCATTGACAGTTACGAATGCTTCTTTGCATTCACTGATAACGCTTACTGAAGGCTGAAGAAATTCTGTAAGCTTTCTCATATTGTAAAATGGTCCACACCTAGAAGTAATATTACCACACATTGTTTAGCAGTTAATAATAAACAACGGTTGGTATTTGAGAATGGGAACTGCAGAAGACTAAAAGTAACGTTTTTTTTTATTTAATTAATAGATGACAATAATTTTATGACAAAAGAATTACCAGTGGGACCTTAATATAAAAAAGAGTAGTATAGAGCGAAAAAAAATAGCATACTGTTTACTTTTTTACGTAAGGTAAAAAGGGATTTAGTATTTCATTGTACTTAACATTCTAACTATTAAAAGAATCATATTTATTGAAGGTTTGTTGGTACGAAGAAAGCTGAAGAAACATGGCTTATTATATCCGGAAAAGTATTTCGGAGTTCAAATATCTTCTTTTAAATTTCCTTTCACCTTTCAAGAAAAAAAAAAAAAAAAAATGAACATTTTCGTATTTTCTAATAAACTCCTCAACTTTTGTATCTCGTAAATCCAATATGATGGGAAATTCAACAGAATCCGTTCAAATGAACTCCTTGTTTATAATATGAAGGCTTGTCGATGTCTTCGCAGCAGTAAAATACGATCATTAGTTTGACAAGAAGCATGGCGAAGCCATTTTTTCCTCTGGAAGCCACAGATTAGTAATGTTCTTAACATAAATCCATACTTTTATTTAAATAAGGCCAATGGTTAAATGGCAAGTAATGTCAAATCTGGGTTATATGAATTTAGCTCAGCACTCCTTCAATAACATATCCATTACTTCAGAAACTGTGTGATTCTGGACTTGTGGGACGCCACGCTTTATTTATGTTTAATACAACGCACTTCAGGATTTGCAGGTAAAAATCTTGAATTTTTTTAGAAGGCAGTCCATTACGAATGGAAACAAGTAAACAACATATCCCTACAATTTTTTAGGTCATGTATGATTAAACAATCAGTTTACTCGAGTGAGGAGAGGAAGGGATCTGGCATTGCACTGATATCTTTATCTTATGTTTTTAACTCGTCTGAAGCGGAAAAAATTAGTACATTATCGGTGTAGAGAAATTAAACCCTATTATTATCACGCGAGCTATCTACGAATACGGTGTGAAGCGAGATGCATTGTGGATGCAAATGAAATTCGGTTAAAAGCAGTGTTATGACTTTTGTTTTAAATTAATCCTTTCCTCTAATCCTCTAAATAAATGCCAGTTACTTGAAATAAAATATGATAGTAGTATGATAGCGACAGCCTTATATGATATATATACATATAAGATACGACAGCCTTATATGATAGCGACATCAATTCAAAGCCGCTCTTTTTTTGTTATAAATGTCGCGAGATAGCAAGCAATCTTCCTTTGCTTTTTTAATGTTGGTGAATGGCTTCCTTCTTTTATAGACGTGTACTTATAGCCCATAGTACTTCATATCCTTAGCTGTACGTGTATCAGTGATCGAGTGTATAATACCATAGATATTAGTGCTTCATTGTATAACGCCCAAAGACGATACAAATTGATTTCTTGACAATTTTTATAATTGTATCCTTTCTTAATGTAAATAGATTCTGTTTCAGTTAGAAAGTCCTTTCAAAGCCATCCCTTGGGAAAGATGTAGCTGCATTTTGCATATATATTACGGCTCATTTGTTACGGAACTCTTTAGAAGTAGCTTCATGATTATCTAAAATTCCTTTGAGCCTAAGCTAACAACAATGTACTTGATGTGTTCGTAGCTTTTCACCATTATATTCAAAACAATGTCGCACTTTTATGGTAGTGCAGTTTCAGAAAGTACTGGCGAATATTAGAGCAAAATTGAATTTTTAGCTCCAAGGGACAATTTGCCCAGAAGGGCTGTTAATTTCGTTTTGGCATTTTGCGTCGTCACTATAAAACGACGTTTCACTTTTCAAATTGTTGCCACCAAATATTACAGCCCTGCGTTATATTTAAGGAAATTAAATAATTAAGAAACTGCAAGAATGTGTGTATGTTTTTCGCATTGTGAAAAAATGACGGCACCTAGAGACAACAAATTTTGAATAGCGTAGTCCTCCCCTCGAATGTGGGCATCCGGAAAAACAAATTTACAATTTGGAATTTATTTTGTTATCTATTTTATACTTTGTAAAACGTTAACGAATTTTTGATTAACAAACTCAACACTTTCAAAGCGAGCAATGGCAACACTGTACGGGGGGGGGAAATTATAGCCAGGGCGCGAGACTATGTATCGGAAATTCTACAGATATGCTCTTTTTAAATCGTTTGCGATATTTCTGTTGAATGTTATTTTATGGTTTAGGGCGGAGAATTTAATAATAAAGATATTTAATAAATAAACGTAACACACAAAACGTTAAATAAACGCCCCTTTGGGCCTATTATCAAATCTGAAAGCTTTCAGATTTTATATTACGGGGGCGTTTTTTTAACGTTTTTGTAAATCATTCTGAATGGTGGTAACATGCAGGTACAGGCTGCATGTTAAAATAGGGGGTATTTTCCAAACTGTCATAGCAAAAAATTTACAGCCCTAAGTCTACGTTTTGGAATCTGATGCACCTTCTCTCTTTTTAACTGTTATTTTTTATTCCGCCTTCTGATTTCTTATTAAAAAAACGTGTCATGTTAAATCAAATCCTCAGTAGTTGATTTATCTTTGGACGATCACCATATGCAAAATCGTTTTTCCCATAAGGTAATGAAATTTTATTATTTCTTTTTTGAGAAAAAATTTATAGGGTGTTCGCCCTAGCTGTGTAGAACTTCATTCCAAAATATGTTATTTTTTACAAAAAAACTTTAAAATACTTTTTTTGGATCGTAATTTTACTACGTTGTTTATCCTGTAACTGTGTTGGACATGTTGATACCTTGTCGAGAGCGTCGAGTGGTAAAGTTGCTTAACTCTAGTAATTTACACCGAGGTTCAAATCCCGCTAACGGGCTGGCTGCATGAGCGTTTTCATGGTTTTTACCATGTGTAATGTGCATACGAGCCAGTTTACAAAGTCTTCTTCGAAGACGTCCTTCCCTTTAGGCAGATAGGCCCGTTAGTGCTTTGCCATTATGAAATAAACCAACCAAACCAATATTTCGAGAGAAAGTATAACTTTCATTTATAGCTTTTACATCTGAAGCCTGTAGATTATACTTTGTGTAATTTAAACAAGAGTGCTGATCTGTATAATTAGTTCTGTTATACACAGTAAACATGTTTATTTATTAAATACTATGTACTTTTAATGCTTACTTTATGTTTTTTTTTCCCTCTTGCTCTTAGGAAACAGAATTGATTCTTTTGCTGAAAACCTTAGAAGGTAGAGGTCATTGGTAAGTTTCGTCTTTTTATAAATGTTTATGCTTATACTCCATCCTCAGCGCATAAAAGAAATAAAAAATAATCATAAACACATTTAAAGAAATCCGAATTTTTTTATTATTTTAAGCCAATTTGATTTATTTAATAATTAGTTCGAAATACTGATCGGAAATGAGAATAAAATAATATTTACTGTATCTTGAATAAGGGGGGGGGAATCCAATCTTTCGGACTGACAGTGTTGATTTAATATATATTCGATTTTATCAGATTTCATTCCCCGTGATAAAGGGATTGTGTCAACATTTAGTTGAGCCGTTTTAAAAATGACGTTTAAGAAATGGTCTACGATCTCCTTCTGAAACACCTTAGCTGAAATTGTAAGTTCAATACGGCGGTCACCGAAAATGACTGTCCCGAACTTTCCTTCTGCAGACCATTATAGACCTTTGATACGATATTTAAATAATCGTACTCTCCTAATGGCCGCCGACAGATCTATGATTAACGATATATGCATTTCTTTCCCGCGCATGAATTCTTCAGCTGAAAAGCACATGGTTTTTTATTTGAACATATTTATGATTCTTTGATTATAGAGTCATTAGGTTTTTTTTTTTTTTTTTTTTTTTTAAACGTGAGAGGTGAAGCAGACGTGAAATATGTGCAATGCCCTCCCCGGGACTCTAACCTGGACCTCTCGAATACACGCCGAGTGTGCTAACCGTTACATCACAAAGGCATGCAAAAAGAAGAGAGAAAAATCCCCCTTTTAAAGGGCGACTGGGGATTTGGGGACCCAAACGCGAAATACTGGTGGTGAAGAATCATCATCCACCACTTTTAGTTCGGGCGCCACTGTAGAGTCATTAGGATTTTTGTAGAAGACGTGAAATATGTGCAATGCCCTCGCTGGGACTTGAACCTTGACCTCTGGAATACATGCCGAGTGTGCTACCGTTGACTACGAAGGCATGCAGAAAGAAGGGAGAAAATACCTGATAAGATCATTGCGTATGCGCTTAAAGAAGAATAACGTAATTTGAGTTACATATAATTGTCATATATTATCAGGCGCACCTTAATTATCTTATACGAATATCTTCGATGATATTTCTTACTCAGGCGCAATACATCTGAGATGGAGGCATCCCTTTCTTTTTGAAAGGAGAAAATTTATTTTTTAAACGCTGGCAAAATGCAGTTTAACCACGTATGTAAATCCTTACACGGAAATTGCATGCAGGTCGCCTATTACGCGGGCTAGCCAGTTACCCTTATTGCGCAGATGTTGGCGAAGGAGGGGACCTACATTCGCCAAGCCAAAAGGGGGTCAAAAGGCGGTCGAGGCCTTGAAAAGAAGGCCGAGGCTTCGACGCCTATCCGATCTTCCACTGTTTCCTCCTAATTTATAGTCGTATCTATTGCACTTAATCCGACTGCAACAGATAGGCTTCGCGATAAGTCAGTCGTCAACGCGCACTTTAGTCTGATCTGATTGAAGATCAAAGCTAGTGGATGAAAGTGTGTGTTGCATTGTATAATCTCGTCTCCAGTGATGTGTGATAGAGGGAATTTCTCCTCACCTACAAGGTGTTTATAATGAGAGGTGAATGATTGGAAGTTTAAGCGACATTCAGCGGGAGAACACAGTTTGAATTCAAATGCAAATGAAGCGTCTTTGCAGATGTAACAAATTAATGAAAATTTCTTAAATGTGAATGTAATCTAAGACTGATTCACGCTCATTAAAAAATTAATCTTTTTATTGTAATATTGTAATAATTAATAACTATTGCAGAAAGATCTAGAAAAATTGGTGTATTTCTTTATACTGAGAAATGTTTTCAGTTTAAGATAAACAGGCAAACTCTTATAAAGAGTTAATTGCCATTTCCGATGAAAATATTTTTCGTATTGTAGAAATTTTGTAACAGCAAGAAGCATGATAAAAATAAATGCGTATTTAGTATAGAAAATTCAGAATAGTTATTCTAATATTGCTAATATGCGAAAAATTACATTAATATTTTTTTAAAGCAGTATTCTTATTGCTGTTTTCTCACCTTGGATTCTGTTAACACGAATCATTTTCTTAGGAAGTTTTCACCGAAAATTATTCTTCGAGGATAGCTAATTTAGTGTGGTTTGTAATAGTAAAGCAGCATTTAAATGTGCACTGATTTGATGTCTTAATGTTTAATTTGGTTAGTTTAACTGAGCTAAACTGATAAGTAGACAGAAGAATTAATTAGAAAATTCGTCTTAACAAAATTGACATTAAGTTTTAAAATTTAACGTAACGTAAAGGATATTTAAATATTTAAATTTCATTTTAGCGTGAAACTATTTAGTCTTAAAAAGTTAAAAATATCTTTCTATTTCATTACCTTCTTGTCGTTTATTTTAAAAGTTAAATATTAACTTAAATTAAATATTAACTTAAGTTTAAAGTTAAAAGTTTAACTTAAGTTTAAAGTTTAAACTTAAGTTAAAGTATTAACTTAAGTTTAAAGTATTAACTTAAGTCTAAAGTTTAAGTTTAAAGTTTAAAGTTAAATATTAACTTAAGTTTAAAGTTTTTTATTTTAAAAGTTAAAAATATCTTTCTATTTCATTACCTTCTTGTCTAGTCGTGGAGGATGATCTTTCACCAGTATGATTTGGCGACTACTTTAAAAAAGGGGAATATATAAGGTATTTTCTCCCTCCTTTCTGCATGCCTTCGTAGTGTAACGGTAGCACACTTGGCGCGTATTGGAGAGATCCAGGTTCGAGTCCCGGCGAGAGCATTGCTCCTTTTTCATGTCTCCTGCTTCAAAATTCCTCATGTCTTTGCAAAATAAAGCAAATATTTGAAGAAAATAATATACCTTCTTTATTCATGCAAAAGAATATTTCTATTGAAATAACTCAAAAGAGAGATAGGAATTATAACCATCTTATTTAATCTGACTTAAGTAGCATAAAACGATGAATACAAAAATTAGCAGTCAGTATTCAAAATTGATGACACATAACAGTGTAGAACATTCTGATGTTTTTTTAAGTATTTCTTGAAGCAATTTGTTCATACTCATGTGCTGTGTATACCATAGCACTAATGTTACTGATGCAACGGAAAATAATTTTTTTAATTGTCTCTCCTTTCACTAATAAAGGGATTTAAAAATAAAATGATATGAAAAGTATGATTTTTGTTTTTATAGAGCTGACAATTTGTTAAATATTGAATATTGCATTTCCCCTACTTAATAATAATAATGTGCGGGAGTAATACTCGTATTTAAAAACTGTTTATAAGGAAATCATTCGACACCCCAATGTTGAATCTAAGAGTGTTAATTCTAGTTATTTTGGGTGCTGTGGTTAAAATTTTTATTTCCGTGAGATTCAAATATTTGTTAGCCTACTAAATGTCAGATTAGGTTGTTTCTTGACATCGGGGCACTCAGTAATTGTCTACTCTAGAAAGAATGCTTAGTGGGCAGTTTTCTAAAGATTTATGCTCACATGTCGCTTAGATATAACCACAAAATCTGAACGTGCAAGTCCATTCAGTCGCTGAGAATTAGACACAGGATGAAATATGATAGTTCTGCCAAATTTTATATCGGAAATTTTGTCAGTTTAGTGTTCTTCGCAATCATCCAAAGTGTCCAGGCTCTTGGTAGACGTTAAATGAATTATCGCTAAGTCTGAAGTAACGACTGAAACAGGAGAAGGGTGTAAGAGATCCTTTATTTAAAAGTAGATGAGAACAGAAGGCGCACTTTGTGCTTATAACTCAGCCAACCGCTTGTGGTATGATAACCTATAGTAACAGTAAGTCAAATGTAAAGTTTAATTTCAAATAAACTAGTAACCGAAGGATACAAAAAATCAATTAACGCGGAGCTCGCTCAGAACATAACTGGCTTGGATATCAACTATCGGCAATTATAATGCAAGGCCGAAGACTACAAATATTATCTTATCTAGGAATCCTTGTAACGAGAGGCAGAACACGCTCTCTCTGTCTTGCAATCTAAAAACTCACCACACGCGAAGTAAATTTGTATTCTGGCGGGAAAATGAAGGGGAGAAACGACAGTAAGGATCCAAAACATAAAATAACTGGTTAACTAACAGAAAGAAACCTCACAATTTAATAAGTAATAATTTATAAATTATAAAAATTAGAGATTTTTTTATTAGTAGTAGTAGTAGTATAAGTGAACGATTATAAAACTTGATTGTTCTTTTGATAGTCCTTCAGGAAAATCAACTATGCTACACCTACCTTATCCTTCGAAAATGGCGAGAGCAATATATGACATTTTTATCTGATTCGTTCGAGATTATTTTTTCTGAAATTACTATTAAATTATTTTCCTTATTTTTGCTGCAAGGTATATCTTTCATGCTTTTTACGGTTAGAAATGAATTTTAAGTTATATTGAAGAAGAGAGAAAGAAAATTAATTAAATATTTATACGCTAGTGTGCAACATACTTTTCTTCAAAAATTAAACTGTTGTTTGATGTATAAATCTCATCAATTAATAATAGCTGTGGAAGGAATCTTCTATTCATTGGTGTTTTCGAATTCAGCAACTTCTAGTGAAGAAATTAAGTTTCCTTGGAGGGGGGAGATAGAATGGATTCCCGTTATATTAAACTCGAACGTAAAAAGAATTACAGTTATTAAGAGAAAATATTAAATTTTAGTTGGAATAATTTTAAAATATAAGGTGTTCAAAATTTTAATGTAGAAAGTTCAAATTTGTCCTGCGAAGTGTCTTTGTACATATTTCCTGTGCTTTATATCGTGGTAAATTTCAGGTTCTGTTTAAAAGCAATAAATGAATTGATTTTTCTACTAAACTCAAGAATTCAAGAGAGAAAGAATTAATTTCATTCATTCACATTTTCAGAGTATAAAAAGGAAAAATTCTGAAATTTGATATCGTCTGTGGCTGATGATTACATGCTAAGTGCGCGCGAAAAGTAATTTACACTGACTTCGAAGT